TCACAAAGTAATTGAGTTGAGCACGCAAGGCCGCGTTCATACTTTGCGACTGTAGCAGAATCGGTGACTCGTAGAATCCACGTCAGGGAAAGTGTATGCATCGCTATGATCACTGGGGAGAATAGGAAGATAGCGATTCGATATTGTCGAAAATGGGCGCTAGAAGAGATGATAATTGATGGAGTCTGGCCGCTAGCTCGCGTGACTCAAGCCACCCGTTAATACCCATGCATTCATTTGACGCGCACTCTCCGGAATCGTTAAATAGCTGTTTCTCCTTTTCTCCCCTTTTCCCGGGTCGAAACTGTAAACGCAGCCTTATCCTCACTCTCATCCCCTGCAACATATACTACTTATTAATATTTTGGGCAACTACCCGTAGTATACATTGATCTTAGTCGGCCAGATCTGGTACGCTATCCTCCCCATACAGTTATAATTCGGGGAGAGACAAATGCAGTCATTTAGCGTTCTGTTTTGGAGTTGATGTTTCTACTTCTTACACTCATAATAACATCGAAATTTCTAAATATTAACCTACTACAAATGCCAGTTCTTATTTCCAGCCGTCCTCGAACTACTGATGACGAGCTGGATGAGATCATGGAATCACATGACCAAGCAGCAGCTCAGAAAGCAGCCGGGGATTTCCAGCAGATGCTTCAGCAGATGGTGAAAGTTCAAGAGGTGAGCTGAGTAGCCTTTTTTTATTCAAAATTCGTGGTCTACTACTTAGTGATGCTGTTTGTATAATCAAAGGGAGCTGTCTCCGTATGGTTTATCTCACCTTAGCAGAGAACTGGTGCATGTATTTCAATATTTCCCAGGTATTTTGAATTTGGCAGTTTTTAGGAAGCATTGCGGCAAGCCGAAGCTTCTGGGCAGCAAGTAACTGAAATCGACAAGGAAGCTCAGGACATGATTGAAGCTATGAAAGCACTCATGGAAAGCAGTGGAAAGGTTGGCTGACTCTCTGATTTTCTTTGTTTCAATTTTATGATGTTTTTAACACTACCACAAGGACGCGGAGTTATGGGCAAAAATTAGGCTCCAAACGAAGCCCGCATCCTCCGGCGACCGCGCGAGCGCGTT